TTTCAATAAGCAATCCTGAAAAATATTTGGGGGTGCTTAACTTTTTTCCAGGTGTATATAATTAAAACTATTATAAAAGACCTTATGTTATTTTAATCTTTATCTTACCACACCTTATTATAAAAATTACTTCAATATTCCTTTTAGAAATTACGTGTACATTTTTTTTTTTAGTTATCAGACTATTCAGTAAATTTGATTCTAAATAATAACAATGTTACAAAAATTATTTTATATAAAGTTACTTTAATTACGCTTTCCAAGAGCTTGGAAAAATAATAAAATTGCATTCAGGCAGATGTGAAGGTTTGAACTTTCATCTTAGTTTAATCCTATCCCTATTTAGTTTCCCTTTAAAACAAAAAGAGTAAGGCTGTTTGGTAACTAATAAGTATAGACTAAGGATCTAAGTAAATTACTACTAAGTTTTTAGTTACTTTTGAGTGGGACTAAAAATCACATAAGTGACTAGTAACCTTTGTATCCAATTGTTTTTTTTCATGAATGTCTGTTTAATAGAATGAATATCAAAACTTTAAAGGTGGTACATCATTGCGTGGTATCAGAAATTTTTTGGAGCAAAAACCGGGATCAGAAAATCAGAGAATTTGATAGTGCAACTTTGCAGAATTGCTTGCTTAAATTCTGCCAGCTTCTATTTTAGCTTTTTAGCAAAATTGAATACTGACTGCTACCACAATGTAATCCTTATATTATGATTTATCACCAGTTGAATTACAGAAATGTTTTAAATCAACATACTATTAAAGATACTTGAGCATCTAGCAGTGTGTGTGAGTGAGAGAGATAACACCTCACAGCCAAAATGATGCAATATGCAGATGTATAAAAATGTTGAATGTTGAAACTACCTTTCTGTATTAGTAGAAAAGATTCAATCTTTGTCAACTAGATGTCTCACAATAAACCAAAACAACCATTTTGAACATGATAAATTACATATCCACTATATAGATAGCAAGTCAAAGCAAACTTTAAACTGAAGATTTTGGAGGTTACATCATTTAACCTTCTTAATAATGACATAGATAAGTTTCTTTTATCATTCTAAGTTGCTTTTTTAACCACATTATTAACATATTACAACATGGCAGTGATATCTCACCATCTTGTTCTCACAGCTTTCAGGAGGTAGAGAACTGGAAACTACAGGTGTCCATCTCAAGCAACTTGAGTCAATTTGTAGTCTCCTATCCTTGTGGGCATTCAAGTTCTTAATGAGATTCTCAATCATGGTATTGTTGATGATAAAGTTAAACCTGAAAAAAAGAATAATGTAGAATGTAGATTAAACAAGTTATGATACATAAAAAATACCAATATGTGCATTTCTATAAACCTGTTTGAAATTAAATCAGTTCATGAAATGTTTTAGAGAGCATTTATGCTTAAAATTTAAATAGCTACACTGAAGTACAAAAGAAAGTAAAACAGTTTGTTAAATATTTGTATTTGCATAAAGGAAAGAAAAGAAACAGAGATACTGTTCTTTATATTTATTATATTCATCTATAAAGGATATTGAATAAAATGCAGCTAAGAAAAAAAAACAAAAAACAAAACAGTAGCAAGGACACAAAGTTTATAAATAGAAAATAATGTGTCGAATTCTAAGGCTTTCAATGGATACCGAAAACTTTCAGTCTGTATACTGTTACAAATTCTGAAGCTTCTTTTGGTGTGTTTTGAATTTTGAGCAAAACTACACAAGGGCTGTCTGCACTAGCCGTCCCTAATTTAGCACTGAAAGACTAGAGAGAAGGCAAATAGTCACCTCCACCCACCACTAACTCTTGGGCTACTCTTTTAGTAAGGAAAAGTGGGACTGACTGTCACATTATAATGCTCCATGGCTGAAAGGGCGAGCATGTTTGGTGGGACAAGGATTTGAACCCGCAATCCTCAATTGCGAATCAAGCGCCCTAACCACCTGGCCATGCTGGGCCTAAAGGTTCTTTAGTAATAAACAAAGATGCTTTTCAGGCCAACTAGATGTAAGTGAATCATTTCTGCTTAAAAATTTCAAATGATGTTTCTGAACCTGTTTGTTTTCTTGTGTATTCTTTAAGAAAGTTTACAGTTTACACACTGGATTTTAAAAGATAGCAAAACAAACTTACCTGTTGTTTTCATACTTAATTATCTTAAGTAGTTGAAGAGTTGAGGCTATGTCTACAAGGTTAATACCAGTTTCTTTGGAGATATCTGAGAAGAATAAAAAAAAAGTATTATTCAATCAAACTGACAGCTAATTTAAACTTACAACACAAAACTTAATGTTTGACATTCGTTTTAGCATTAGTCTAATTTGACTAAGAATCACAGACTTCAGCATGTTTGTCAGAATCCTTAGTTAAAAAAAATATTTATCCTTATTCCTAAATAAAGATTAACTTTGACACATGTAAGCAATTTTACTTTATAATTTTATTGTGTTTTTGAGTACACTATTATTTATGAGATTTTTTTATACAATTATATTTTTTACTGATCCTGAAAATTGTAACTGCTTTCATTATATTTCATTTACAGAATTAAAAAAAATGGAAAATTCACAATGTAAAAAATTACCAGAATATCAGTATATCAAATTCTGAAATGCAGATTAAAGCACAAAAATATTTTGAGTGAAAGCTTCTTCCCAACATTTTTATAAATACCAATTTTTATACATGTTCTAAAATCTGAAATAAAATACGTTTATAATATAATGTCCTTCTAAGTGTTGCACACTTTGATTACATTCTTAAAGAATTTATGTGAATAAACAACTTATTGATGAATCAACTACCACTCCTCCAAGAACTCTTAAAATTTCAAATAAAACCAAAATAACTTTCATTTTCTTGTATTGGGCATAATTTGTTTCATTTATTTTTATAGCTTTCTATTATCTTTTTTAAGATTTATCATTCCCTTAATTCTTTCAGCACGGGCTCAGTCCCATGGACCAACCTTGTAATTATTTTAAGATTTTTTAAGTAACGTTTTTCTCATGTCTTTTTTTCTTTTCAAATGTTGACTATCCAACATGTAAAGTAATTTGATTTTAAGATTAAAATTATATTTATGCATCAGAAAATTTTCAATTTCACATGCAAAATCTTTATAACCTCCAGATAATTATCAAACATTTCTAAAGAAAAAACAATAAACACAAATGTTTATTCTAATTAGCTTAAGTCTCATAACATTAAATATTTATATATATCTTTTCAGCCTTTCAGCCATGCCTGGCTAACATTACAGAAGTTGCAAAGACATGGCACATGTGTACTCACGTTACCGTATCCAAGAGTATAAAACTGCCTTTTACATAGTGACCTCTCTTGGCTGTATTTTAGTAGACTAGTATTTTGCAAAATACAGTTATATTTCAGTTATAATACATTATATACATTACTACTATTTACAAATAAGTTCTTAAACATATTTTTCTTAAGACATAGAACAGTAAATAAAGAAGTATAGTAAACAATTATCTCTTCTAGTTATAAACTTTGTGTTAATTTACTAGTTGCCACAGTTTGCTAAACTTTATCAAATTTCACATGTGGAGGATGTGAAATTAAATAATTTATTTTTTATATATATATAATGAAATAACCAAAAATCATAAACTACTATACCAATATTATAGAATTCCACTATAATTTATCAAGCTTAGTAACTAAACTGTATTTGGGTCTAAAAAATTTTGAGCTCACTAAAGTCTTACCTTACTGCTTGGAATACAGCATAAAAAGAAAGTTTGCCATCCGATTACTTCAAAAAAGGCTGAAAAGCCACTAGGGGAACATTCTGAGTTTCAATTGGTTATTCACACGTCACAGACAGAAGTAGGTGTATGTAAGCAAGTGTTTCCAAAAATGGAATCAAGTGGGCGGGGCCACTGTGTTTGAGTCAGTAAATGTAGTGATATCTCAGCAAATAGAAAAGATAGAAGCTTCTTATTTTATCTTGTAGCTTGTCAATATCGGTAATTTGAATTTGTAATTCATAAGAAACAATAGACTTTGTACTTGGACATCACAAACATCTAGCTTGAATCAATGCTGTATTCAACATACCATGTGACACACAAAAATTAGAT